TATCCCAAAGGATATGATAGACTCTGATGACCCCCTGTGGAAGGCCTCACCATCCAGGGGGAGCAGATAGGATGTGATAGGTAGGGTTTTAGTTGGCGGGTGGTGGTAGGGGAGGAAGGGAGGGAGAAGAGAACTGGGATTGTCTTGTAAAATAATCTTGCTTCTAATTTAAATAAAAAATCTGAAAAAAAAACCAATTGGTGGTTCTATTTTTAGTCTTAGTCAATTTAAAAAAAAACCAATGATTTATTTGGTCCAATTGCATCCATAAACTAGTGCTTAGGTTACTGAATCTTAAACTCTTCTTGACTGTTAGTATCAACTGAACATCTCAAACAATTGCAATTGCCTTGCACTAACTTCTGAAGTAGACTGTCTGGAGAGAGGGCTCAGAGCTCCTACTGCATAGTCCTCATATATTACTTACTCAGGCCCTTCTCTAGAGTATAGAGACTTTGCCATTCATTTTTTAACATGTGTGCAGGGAAAACTGGATAGAGTTTGTATCTCTACATTCATAATCCTGTTGTCTGAATCTGGGTTTGTTTTGAGGTGCTGAATTTATTTTCTTATTGCTCATGTGACCAGAGAAAGATTTGATTTTTCTATAGGATGCAATATTTGTTGACCAGTATTTATTGTCAAGACTTTATTATTGCTTTTATTTTCTCTGCCATGATATGACTTCATTTAATTCTCCTGGAATACATAGTAGTAACATCATCTCTATTCTATAGATAAGGAAATTGAAGCTTAAAGAAGTTGAAACTTGACTCCAAATGATGATTCATTGTTGAATGGCTTATAAACCGCACACAGTGTAGGTGTCTTTCACATCATCATAGGTATTGATATCATTGAAACTATCATGTCATTGATATCAATCACATATCATTGATATTACCATACACGTGTTCCCTAGAGAATCATCTGGGTGACACTGGTCTTGCCAAGTGCTTTACAGAAAAGACACTATGACCTAAGAGCTTGAAGGATACTGAATGGGTTGGAAATTCTCTATCCATGACAACCTATGAAATGCATTAAGATAGGGAATGTAGAGTGTGGTTCCCTCTGGGTTATTTAATAATAAAAACTTCATTGAGGAAGCACTATCCAGTGACACCAATTTTGAAAAATACTCTAAAGCAACCTCGTATCCTAGAAATTATTTCCTAGTGATAGATGTTAGAAAACTGAAGCTAAGAAATACTTACTGAGTGACCTACAGTGATTCTACACATGGCTGTACTTGAACCTGTTTGGCTAATTTATAAATTAATTAACTTTATAAATGAATTTTAATGTCATGACTGAAGGTTCAGGACTCTAATATCTATTATTTCTGATACTAAAGCTGAATTAAAATTGCTGAAAGGGTAAAATGTAATGTTGTATGGAAAAACATTTTGGAACAAAATACTGTGTAAATATCAGAATTAGGCAGCATACAGTCTAAAACAATACCAAAATAGCATACCGTTTATTTATTTATTTATTTATTTATTTGTTTGTTTGTTTATTATGTTGTTTTGAGATGGGGGGGGTCTCATGCAGTCTAGGCATCCCTGAAACTCAGTATGTAGTAAATTGAATTTGTAATCCTAATCATAGTTTTATGTTTGATTGGGACTGGGAAGTACCACACAGGGCTTCATGCATGGTAGGCAAGCATGATGTCAGCCAATCTATATCCCAAGCCTCCTAATGTTAACTTCTGAAGGAAATTACTTCTTTAGTAATCAGACTTTTAAAGGATGATCTGTTTGGAAAGATGAGTTTTGCTAATATTGCCAGTCTGAGTTTTCCTAGTCATCAACCACTCAGAAACTTTTGTAGCCCCTTTGTTATATCAAATAGTTCTTGTAGATCCTGAATGAACTAGTCATGAAACTAAGTCACGAGCCTGTATCCTTCCTGGTATCAGATTCTATTGCATCTGGAAATATAAATTCTGATGAGTGACACACAGTAGACCTTTTCTACTTTCTTAACAGTAAATAAGTAGTAGCTTAATTTTTTTTAGATATTTTCATAAGAGCTCATTTATTCAAAGAATGAGGCTGAGGAACAATCAATGCAGGAGTCAAATTTTCTGACCATGTTTTACTGAGAAAATATAAAGTTGATTAGAAAGAGTTGTGACTAAAATCCTGGAACCCATTTAAAGCTAAGCAAGAAGGTCATGCAAAACTACCCACATGCTGAACAGCTCCTTCTCTGCAACACATTCCTGGGGGTCACTTGATATGATAAGAGGTAATCTCCTGGTGGAGAACAAAGCCCAACTATCCCATATTGAGAGGAGATGAAAGACAGTTCAATCCCCCAACTCCCTGCAAAGGGGAAATGAACCCAGAGATAACAGCAGATATTCCCTGTCACACCAAATCAAACATGCCATTGGCTTCTATGTCATCATGCTGAGTTAGTGTGTGGCTTATTCCCAGTGCTTGGAATGCAGGTAGAAAATAAATCTGCAGAGATTTGTAAACTAATGCATAGGGACATTCTCTCTGGTATCTATTTTCTCCATCTTGCCCTTCTCCACTGCACACTTGGAATTAATTAATCATGGTGGTGGCTCCAGGGAAATGAGTGTGAATTTGGCAAGGCTCAGAAAAGATGGCTTCCAGAAGAACTACTCTGTCTTAGGTGAGAAGGAAGCACGATGGCGTTGTGTGAGAAGATGGTCATTGCTTCAAAAAGTGGGTGTGGGTGAGCTGCAAACAGAAGCCGCCATGAATTAGTTCAAAATTTCGGACTCTGCTTGGCTCTTCAAAGAAATGCATACAGCTTGAAAGCAGACCTGGTCCTTAGTGGCTCTACACCTACAGGCAACTGCTAACTGCTGTTTGAAAGCCTGATGGTGCTGAGTTTCTGTCCAGAAATCACTTTCGACTGTGCCTCATATCCCTGAGGGAGTCTAAAATTAGGCAAATCTGCTTTGCATTCAAGTTCAACCATTATTTCAGAGATGGTTTCTGAATTTTTAAGACATGACATGAGGTTTTGGGTAAAGAATACATTTAAAATCTTGTGACCAATTTAATGAAAAAGTGACAGTGTTATAGAATTCCTTGAATACTGATTGAGAAGACAACAAGGAAGTTTGAAATATAGAGGTCTAGAGAACACAGGAGACAGGGAGAGGGGAAGAGGAGGGGGAAAGTTCACAAAGGTAAAAAGGAGAGCACAAAATTAGCATTCCCATGCCCCACCCTGTAGTGTCTCCATGGTTGTTTATGAAGAAAGAGCCATTTATTTTTAATGCATAAAGAAAACACAGAGATGATATTTTTGGACAGAATAGTTTCCTGTATACACATGCATCCAGGACTCTACATTCCCTTAAAGCCTGCAATAGTACATAGTACACGCGTCTTCCGGAGGCTGGGTGGGGGCCTGGAGTAGTGGATATACATTTGGCTAATATAGAGAGAAAGGGCATGATGGCTACTGCTGCCTACTAGATACAGGCTCCAGCAACACTCATCACAAACACTTCTACCGGGAACACCTTTGGGAAAACTCAGTTATACAGTATGGACTGAGGACTGTGTCCGAATCCCCTTTTCCTCTCGTAATAATTTGCCACATTCTACGTCTGTAGATAAAGTAGTCCCGGAAGTGGAGTTGGTCGGATGGGTTTGTTTACACTGCAGTCCATAAAAGAAACAAAAGGCCTTGCATGCAAAAAAGAAATGGAAGAAATGAAGAGAGTGAATAAATAAAAAGCAGGAATGAATGTTTAAATGAAAAATTAACTAAAATGAAGCAGCAGTTATGAAGCAGCACATTAATGCATAATATATACAAGCTTTTACTTTTCAAATTAGTAGCATAACACAAGACACCTCAAGAGCAAATTCAAAGTTAAAACAGACCAGTCCATTCTACCTGTTAATTCAAGACAGTTTTCTAGAATGTGGTCCAGGAAAAGGGCACTCCTAGTCTCATAATTGCTTTTTGATTCTGGGAAGGGTTTCCATAAAGAAACAAGGGGATACTGACGCCTCCCTAGTGTTGGGCACTCAAAATATGGTTTTCACATAAAGAAAGTGGTAGTATCTGGTTATTAATCAACACCAGCCATAAAAAATTCAGGACTCTGTGCAAAATGAATATGTGAAGCCTTATCTTGAAAATTATTAAGAATTTCATAATGTTGGTAGTAGAGCATTAAGTTGGCTGTTTTGCTAAGAGCTCTTAGCTTTGAGATTCTAATGGCATCTTTAAATTAAACTAGTGGATTAATATTTTTACAATGTCCTGGAGCTCTGTATTTTATTTATTGTAGTGAGGAATTATCTTAAATCACAGGCATTTGTGGTCCCCCCAAAGGATCTGAGTTCCAGGTGTGGATGCCTTTAAAAATAAAATAGATAAGAATGGCTTAACTATTGAAATTGCCTATCATCTTATATGCAATTTTGAAAAAATAAAGTGTCAAATGTATTTTATTGTCATTTTGTGTTGTTTATCATGTTCATAGGAAAATTGTATGAATTATCTTTCCACACATTATATCTTGATGTAAGTAAATGCCCAATTTAAAAATACTGCTTTGTATTTTGATAGAAATTATTTTGCAAATGTGCTCAGAATCTATACCAAAGGGCTGGTAACATTTCTCATAAGTGTCTTCTGTAATTTTGGATTTGTGCCTCTCTTGCTCTTTCTATAGTTTCTATCTCAAGAGCAAATAACTGTTGAAGAAATTAACTGAGTTTTGAATTTCTGCACTGTCATTCCAAATAGTGCTAATTAGATTTAGTGTACGAGACTCTCACTTCTTCTCATTAATAAATGATAGAGCTGCCATGCCAGCGGCACCTGGCAGGGATTCAGTGCTCTTTGCTCTAACTCAGAAATGGCTCTTCTGGGCATCTAATTCAATAGACTGTGACAAAAAGGGAAAGCATCCTCCAAATTATCCTCCCACATAAGGCAGCAAGTTGAAAATAAAAACTATCCAGTCTTAGAAAGAGAGGACTCACCTGCTCGATGTCATTGTTCTTCCGTGATTTGTATATAAATTCTCCAATGGCTACAAACACAGAAAGGACGAGTCCCGCAGCCAGAACAATGAAGATGCCCCCAATATTTTCCACTCCCAGAGCACTGGCTTCTTTGCTGTCTTCTTCAGGACAACCATTTCCCCGCCACCATTTCTCTTTCATCATGTGCAGCTTCCCCTCTTCTTGTAGTTGAAGGATTGCAATGGTAATTTTATCCCGGTATGGAGAGCCTGAAAGTTGGGGGTGTTTTAGATGTTGGTCATCAATGGGATAAGAAGATATTAAGACATTTCACTATCTTAGTGATAAATATCCCAGGGTTGTGAAACCCTGAGGCACTATTAGCCAACATTGGCAATTTCCAACATCTTGAAGACTTCTAACTAGTTAGAAGGAGAGGTGCCGTGTCGAGGTTCTCTCTGGTCCAGGGTGCTTCTCATTCTAAATAAAGAAACATTAAATAGGAATTCTACCACATTTCAGCTTCTGCTGAGTTCTTCACCAAATCTTTTCCCATGTCCAGGGATTTGTTGTTTTGACTCTACCTTTTCTGGCCTCTTGGGGGTCGCTTATTGTGGCCAAGTTTGGCCATTCTTCCTTCTATTCCTCCGTCTTTCTTAGAGTTCAGCTATCACCACATTTCTGGCCAAGGGGAGCTAAACATGATGGATGACTTTTCTAGTCTTGTGTCCTAGATCTTGCCAGCATGCTCTGCTTGCTCTCTTTCCCCAAATACACTGCAATAATGAAATACTTTCAAGTCATCAGTGTCGGAGGAGCTACAGAGTAGAAGGAACTTGGGTTCTAGGGCAGCTGCATGAAGCAGGTCCTTTCTCCTAGCCCAGACTGAGCTATGACAATCACAGAATGCTTACTGTGCAAAACATTGAAAATTTTCAGACGTTGTTTGCAGCAGTTCACCGATAATGACTGATGTTCCAATTAAGATAAAGTACATTCTGAATAATTCTGAGGTTCTATACTATTCTGTGGCAGGAACATGGTAATATTTATGGTCTGTCTTCTGGTAATTCCATTGAAACTTTAATTGTGAAGGGTTGGAAAGTGCCGAAGTGTATACATTAGGACATAGTATCTTAATTCTTAATTCCTATGTTAATCAAAGCAAAAGAGATAAAACAAGATTCCTTTACTCATTTATTTCCTTGGATGGCAACATTTTTAACATATTTCTTCTCCTCAGTAGAGGGAAGCTCCCTTTGCTTACAAAATTTAAAGGCATTCCTGGTGGAGGCAAATTGAAAAGTCAGGCTTCTTAAAGACAAGGGGAAAATCTTAGGAATAATAAAGTCAAGACCATTTGTTAAATAGGTTTAAAATAATTTAAAATCTGAAGGTATGATTAAGAACCAAGAATCCAAGTCAGTTCTCCTCATTTCTTACGTCTCAGCACTATTTCTGTGTCCCCACAGATGGCTTATGTCCTATGCCCCAGCTAACGTTCAATAAACTCAGGGTCAATTTCCTTATAAGACTGAAAAAAAAAATTGTCAACACTCACAATCTACTTTAAAAGAGGAGTGCAATGCTTTAGAGGGAGACTATAGCTTGTTAATTCATAGTATGGATTTTGGGGTAAGAAAATGGATTTTGAAAAAAAAACCAAATAAGAGGTATCAGCCTTTGACTTAAACTTTCTCAGAACAATGGGTAGAGGCAAAATTAGGAGCATTAATATCCCTAGAGTGCAGAAGGAAATGAGAGAACCTGGAGTATTCTGCTTTAAGGTACATGGAAGTGCTTTGACGAGCGTGAGAGCAATACTCCAGGCCATGGCTGCACAGTAGTCAGAGTGATATACGCAGTGGGTGCACAATAAATGCTTGCTGCCATTCTCCTCCTGCCTTCAGGCTGCACAAGACCCAACACATTACAGACAGATGGAGATCCAATCTCTGCTTAATGCTGGTCTCTAAGGAGGGTAATTTCCAGTCTTCTAGTAACCTGTTTAAATCTTAACTGCTCTCATTCTCTTGAAGTCTGATTTTAAATCCCTCAGGAAGCACATTTCTAGAGCTTCTGTCCTGAGAGTCTCTAACCAGCAGTTTTCAATTTTAGCTTGTGACTGAGCCAGCTTTGCCAATCTTCTCTTATGGTAGAGATGTCAGAGCCTCTGGGGAACGGAGGGCAAGACTAGACACAGCAGAGACCTTTCCACGTCGGCATATCTTTTAGCTTCAATCTTTGTTACTGTTCAAGTGGTCTGGTTGACATCAGAAGTGACTTCTTGCAAATAATTTGAGAAAAAAGAATGTATGTGTACACATGGATCCTCCTGAATAGCAACTGATGTTCTTCAAAGAGTAAATCCATCATAAAAGAAACATTGCTCAAATGTTTCTAGCAGCTGTAATCCCCATGGATGAGTTCACTCTGAAGCCCACCATCTGTTCCAATTATTCCCTCATTGTTTTTGCTTTAAAAGCATGACAGGTTTATCACCACTATGAAAAATTTCCTGGAGTATATTTCTTTTCATCTATGAAGGGGAGATGGAGGCTCTTTTAACATTAGCATGCGTTATAGGTAAAGTTGGCAAAAGAAAGACTAAACGAATCTGTTGAGGCCTCTCTGTGTAATAGATACCATAGTATGTCAATCTAGACAGAACCCTGTAAGTAAAGAGGTGGTTTTTTTGTTTTTTTTTTTAAGATAGGATCAGTAATTGTCCCCTGAACATAGATAGACACCTTTTCTGTCTATTTCTGTTACTGTCACAGAATTGATAGCATATGGGTATGTGGTCCTTCTAGGCAAGAGAGTCCTGAGGAAGCACAGTGCTATTGAACTGAACAAATAGAAATATCTGGGGGGTGGGTTTAGGTAGTTATTCTTTGACTCTAGTTTATTGTGTGACAAAAGTTTAAAATTTATTTTCTGTCCCTTTCTTTGGACAGATATGACATTGTTTTCTCATTTATTGAGATGGAAAAAGAGTCTTCTATCTCCAGAATTAATTTTCATCTATGTAGAATTAATTTCCTTATATTCTAACATAACTTAAGTCACAAAAGTAGGTACGTGCAGATATTACAGAAAATAATTCATGAAGAATAACTAGGAAAATATGGTCTTTACAATGCTCATGGTAAAAATAAAATCACACAAATCTTAAACAGTTACATTGTGGTAAGATCTAAAAAATAGTAGTTGAAAATTTATTAGATTAAGTATCTGAGGTTCCTCGATTTAAACCATACCTTATTTTTTATAGATATTTCTCTTCCTTGTTAGTCTGCTAAAGACATAGGAAAATATGTTCTTTACAATGCTCATGGTAAAAATAAAATCACACAAATCTTAAAAAGTTACATTGTGGTAAGATCTAAAAAATAGTAGTTGAAAATTTATTAGATTAAGCATCTGAGATTCCACGATTTTAACCATGCCTTATTTTTATAGACATTTCTCTTCCTTGTTAGTCTGCTAAAGACAATTGCACACTTCCCAGTATGTTGAATACATGTAATCAACATTGCCCAACTTAGCCTTGGCCAATGCCTTGCCTCTCTTACCTATCGGGGTCCCCACTCCATAACCTTTGGAGTCTATGAGGCCCCCAATCTGAGTGAGGTTGCAGTTCCTCTGAGTCACATACTCAATGCTGGTGGACTCCATCAGCAGGGCGTAGTCAGTGGTGAGCACTCTTTGGATCCCCTCATCATTGTTTTTAACCAGTGCACTCTGTTCTCGACTGCTCATAAAAGCCCACATTTTCTCATAGGTGGATATCTTTGATTTCTGTAGAGAGAAAAAAAAAGCACACCCACAAGCAGAAGAGTGCTGAGAAAAAAAATGGCCTACAGCCATTCACCATCCTCATGGGTCAAATGATAAAGGGGAATCATTTCCTGTAGGTGAGAAACTGAACTGATGACAATAAGACTTCCATCTAACAGGTAACCAAGAAGAGCAAAATTCACTACAGAAGAATGTTGCAGAGGTTTCTTGTCTAATCAAGTCCCGCTGCCCTTCTCAGCCCCAAATAAGCACACAGAGACATATATTAATTTATAAACTGTTGGCCGATGGCTTGGGCTTCTTATTGGCTAGCTCTGTCTAAATTATTAACCCATTTCTATTAATCTACGTATTTCCATGTGGTCTTATCTTACTGGAGAAGGGTACAGATCTGTTACTCCTTTGGCTGCCTATATTGCATCTGTTTCATACCTTTCTCTGCCTACCTTTCCCAGAATTCTCCTCATCTCCTAGTCTCACCTATCTCCATGCCTCTGTTGGCCACAGTATTTTATATATCAACCAATAAGAGAAACATATACACAGGACAGCCCCCATCAGGAGAGAACATGAAGATACTTAGATAACCATGGAAGAAAAGGAGACCTTGTGAGATGGCAGTCATGGCTCAAGGCCCTCGTCTTGATTTTGGTTAGGGAAGAAGGAGCATGAATGTCAACAATAGTGCTTGCTAATGAACTGTTGACATTTGAGAACAATACTCTTCACAGTCCACTTGGGCAAAGCTGAGGATCTCTCCTTCCAGGTCTCTGCTCCCTTACTCTACTTCCCCTCCATCACTGGACTTCAATGGTTGCTTTGTTGTTTCCAGGTATGGAAGCTCCAGAGCCTGGCCAGCACTAATTTGCTAGAGATAGCCTGGGATATGTCGCTAGTGTTCTCTCCTTTGTTTGTGAAAGAAGTACATCTGTGGCTAAATTTTCTGCAAAATGCTCTTTTGTAGTTAATATTCAAATCAGAAGGATCTCCTTACATTTTACGTATATAATTTCTCATTGCAATCATATTTTAGATAACAAGGTCTACATATTTTATTTTAAAGTGTTCTATGATTTTCATGTCTTTTACTCAGCTTATTTTTAGTAGAATCAATAATAGACTATACATATGATATATTATATATGCCTCTATATATAGACACCATTACCTCATTATCTTCTTTTCTTTGTTTAAATATACTGCCTGCATTTCCATATTGCTTAGATATGAATTTCCATTCTTTTGAATAGTGATCTATGATTAGGCATTTTACATTTCTACTCTGTAATTTCCATAATGTTTCAAGTTTTTCCCCTGAATTTGTCTTCATTTGCATCAGTACACCCTTCCATTTATTTCAAAGATCAATTTCATCGTGGGAATTACTGATGTTTTCAGGCTAAAGCTGGTTCTGACTCATGCAGACACCTCAGCAGGGGTAGGGCTTATCATCCTAGGAGTGTGAAGAAGGTAGTCTCCTTGGCAAGGGCAGGGTGTGGCATCCACCCTAGGTGTGTAGAGAAGGTGGATTCCTTGGTAAGGGTAGGGCTTATCATCCTAGGAGTGTGAAGAAGGTAGTCTCCTTGGCAAGGGCAGGGTGTGGCATCCATCCTAGGTGTGTAGAGAGGCGGACTCCTTGGCACGGGCGGGGCTTATCATCCTCTGTGTGCAGAGCTTACAACAGGACCTGGGGCTGGAGACGCAGAATGAAGTAGCTCAGGAATCAGAGCTCTAGTAGCTTGCTCGTGCCCAAATGTTCTGGGAATTTACTTGGTTCCTAAGTCTATTTAAGACTCGGGTTCACAGAATAGGCCCCATGAGTTGGGGGTGGGGAGACACTTTGGATTGGATTGCTAGGCATTTGAAGAGACCCATGAGAAAGATCTTAAGAGACAGATAACAATTGAACACACATACCTCATACATACGATGTTTTAGGGGACCCATTTTGTCATGATGAAGCCCCCAGGACTTACTCCACCACCCCAGGAGATCTAAAAATTGGAGCTCATGTCTCTACTACAAAGGGGTAAGCCGGGTGCCTGGCCGATGCGTCATGTGTTGTGTGGTTTCAGCTTTAAAGAGTCTGATAGGTCTAAATTTTCAGCGAGGAGAAGAGCTATTTATGCAAAAGCAGGGAGGTCACTCTGTCTTTTTTTTTTTTTTTCTGCAGCAAATATACGGCTGGGAAAATTATTTCTTCATCAGGAAACTACCTTAAGCAGAAAACATTTTCTTTGAAGTATGAAAATTTAAAGTTATCTGAGACTTTAGACATAGGTTCATTTAAACTATCACTTTTATAGATGAGGAACTTGTAGTACAGGGTGTTTGGAGACTTCAGAAAATGATAGTGAAAGTTAACATCAGAACTAATCCTAGTCTCCAGGAACCCTAACACCTTATTCAGTGTTCCTTCCCCTGCTCCATGGGGAAGGTTGACTCGGGAAGGGTAGATGTCAACATTACCAAAGTTGTTTTGACTATGAGTTTCATCTTATTTGATCTCCAGGCAAAAAACACAGCATTTTTAAAGGACTGGCATCCTCTGTATGCCTTTTGGCTAGTTAGTCTTATGTTGTTGGTACAGCATAGAAATCAGCTTCCATGGTAGAAATTTCACAGAACATTTAGTTTTTCATTATTTTAAATTTTATTAAACTGAAATGTCTTCTTTCTCCGCAGAGGAAGGGAACAAAATATAAATTGCCTTTTATCCATACTAAATGGGCAGCATGAGGAGGCCTTCAAGTCATACAGTCACTTGGAGATAGTGGATCTTCCGTTATTGTATATCTACCAAGAGAAATTTGCTGAGAAGTTTCGCTTATGGATTCTCCAGGTCCATGGCTCTGGACCCCCTTCCCTCCAGATCAGGCCCTTTGTATTACAGGTCCTGGGAAAAGTGCCACCAGAGGTCACAATTGGTAGGCAGATAAGCCACTTCTGAGGGTTCCTGCTTAGCCCCTGAGTTCTATACAACATAATGCTATACTCAGGAAGGTTTATTTTTTATTTGTCATCCCCTAAAATAGCATTTTCAGAGTAAATTTGGTGAATGCTTTTTCACAATTTTCTTAGTTTTCAAGATGAAAATCTTAATACTGCTTAAAACTGAGTATGCTTTGCCAAAACTTATTGTAAAGGTTAAAAGGCCAAACGAAGTGTTGGAATGAGAAGCCTGGGTGTTCTTCCTCTTCACAGTCTGCCCCAGTCCAAGTCAGCCTTCTAAATCACTTGATAATACTCGGAATATTAAAGCATGGGGACAGTGATCACCTCTCATTTCACTGAATATGTCAAAAGCCAATTTGAACTCCCATATTCTTAGATGACACAGGCTTAGATAAATTCCTTGGCATGGTTTAGCCTGATTGTACATCTGTGTTTGTGCTGATAAACACGGGTGACAGATAATAAGCAGTTCTCATCAGGCGTCTGTTAGAAGGCAGAGTCACTGTGACAATGGTGATGATTGCTTATTTCTGACTTTGCACTTGCAATGCATGCAGGCTGCATGCTCACTGGGTGGTGACTTACAGTGTGTACATGGACAGTAAAAAGCTGTGGAGAACAGTGACAACAATGAGCACTGACAATGTTTACTGTGCAACGTGCCCAGCTCCGGGCATGTTATATGCACTCATTCATTTAATGAGAGAGGTACCGTTAGGATGTCTGCTCTACAGATGTAGAAAGAGAATATCGCACCGAGAAGTTATGAAGTCAGGGTTTCATTCCAGGACTCCTGTTCCAGAGTCTTAATTAAAGGGAATTAATTATTTGTTTGAATACAAGATCCACTAAGCTCATAGTCAGGTGAGTATTTCAGCAGACCTAGCTCATGTTCTAAAGAAATCACCTAAATGTTTGTAAGCAGCATTCTGCTGTAGGAGGGATGCCACAATCTTGCACTTAGCGTATGATGTATGGAGAGTGTTTAATGACTTTCAGCAGATTGCATTCATTTAGACACAAATCCAATGTCTCAAGATGCGCAGCAGTTGGAATCTGGAAGGAAATGTGCACATTGTTTGTACTTTTCCTTGCCTTTTGTATCATTTTGTTTTCTCTATAGTTCTGTTTTCATGACAGGAAGTGAAATGGTGAGAGCTCAGCAGTATAGGATGCTTTTAAGATTGATAGAACCTCCATTTTTGTAGAAATAGCTTTCTGATGTTTCATTTCTATTGAGATGAGCATTTTTCTACTGAGACAAGCACTGCTTATCACAGTATTTCTCCAACCAAGTTATAGGGCACCCACAAGGAAAACAGGTGATCCCATTATTTAATAAAATTGATTTCTGTAAAATCCTGCTTTGGACCACAGTATTTGAAGGTCTTATATTCACACATGTTTACACACGTTTCCTTTTAGTTGTTTTCATAATCCTAAACATGATGTTGAGGTTTTCTTTTTGACTTTGTGTCAAAAGTGACCTTGTAAATGTGCTATGTGCTATGCAGAGCAAATCAGTGATCAAAATAATTCTGCATTAAGTCTTTGCAGTAGACTATTTAGAAATACTAATCTTAAAAAATACCCTTAAATCTCAACAAAAGATATCTACAACGCAGAGTCCAAGCTTATGAAGCTGACATACAGAGGAGAATACTTGTCTGAAAGACAACTGTTTCACTCAGTATAATGAAATTTCATTAAGTGATAATGTCTCTCATCATGTTGAAATATGATTTAATTTAACAATAATCATCTGACAGAATACTACTAGAAGACAGTGATGCAGTGGCGACCCTGTCTTTCCAGGTATGATCATTTTGTGGGGTCATACCCTTACCTTGAACCAATAGAAAGTTATGGCATTTGAAGATTCTCTGAGGTTTTATAATTTCATTGATTCCCTTCAGGGAATTCTCCTGGTAAGACGTCTTTGCTCAAATATGTCTCACATCCCCCTCATCTATAGTTAAGATTGGTATATTACAAGCAATATGCCAGACTTATTAAAAGGTTAGGTTCAATTGAACTTATAGACA